CGAAGGGTCCTGGGTTCAATTCCACTCAAGGGCACATGCCCGGGTTGCGGGCTCGATCCCCAGTAGGGGGAATGCAGGAGGCAGCTGATCAATGACTATCTCTCTAACCCTTTCCCATCCTCTCTGAAATCAATAAAAAAATTTTTTAAAAAGAAGTGATCTGTGTGAAGATACTTTTAAGAAAATATAATGCAAGTTGAATAAGTTGAAATTATGTAACTGTGGTTTTCGAATAAAGAAATTAAATTGGTTTACAGAAATTTACTTGGTATAATTTCTTATACATACTTTAATTTGGAGATTAAAGGAGAGTAACTAACAAAAACTGGAGAAATTAAGACTTTCAGATTACAGTGCAATATAGAGATTTCATGTGAGACAGACTTTAAGTATGGGGAAGCTACATGGGGTAAGTACACCAGAGTCAAGCTGCCCACATCAATAGTTCACTTGCAAGGTTCCATACTGAGTTTGCCTTATCTTCTCAGAGTGGGGGGTTAGGGTAACGGTCCCAACAGATGAACAGCTGTTACTGCAGGTGAACAGCTGCACAGCAGGCAAAGGGTGTTTTGTTGTTTTTTAACTCACTGGCCTTATTTTTTAAATATATTTTTATTGATTTCAGAGAGGAAAGGAGAGGGAGAAAGAGATAGAAACATTGATGAGAGAGAAGCATTGATTGGCTGCCTTCTGCAAACCCCACACTGGGGATCTAGCCTGCAACCTGGGCATGGGCCCTGACTGCAATCGAACTAGACTTCCTGGTTCATAGGTCGATGCTCAACCACTGAGCCACGCCAGCCGGGCAGGCACTGGTTTTTAATTTCGAATGGAGTGAAGGTGAGCAACATAGAGTTTCACAGGAAGTTCTCCTTAGCGTTAAAGAGCTGTAACCTGATGCTTGTGAATGTCTGTACTTGAATAGGTGTCTGTATTTGAATACCTGGGAGTTAAACAGTTATTGAACAGGCTGCCCTATGGAAGATTTCCTATAAAAATAATTGGTTTTGTGTAGATATTATATTTTTTATGTTTATTCATAAAACCTGCTAGTAATAAAGATAATTTTTTAAATATATTTTATTGATTTATTACAGAGAGGAAGGGAGAGAGATAGAAAGTTAGAAACATCGATGAGAGAGAAACATCGATCAGCTGCCTCCTGCACATCCCCCACTGGGGAATTGCCTGCAACCCAGGTACATGCCCTTGATCAGAATCGAACCTGGGACCTTTCAGTCCGTGTGTCTCCGTTCCGGCCCCAGCAGCCCAGTGCCATGGCTGCAGGGCTGAGGCTGGGGGCCAGCCCCCCTGTGTGTTGTTCTCTCTGGCTACAGGGCTGGGCACGGGCTGCCCTGTCTGTTTTTCTCTCAGGCTCTGGGCCCATGCCAGGCCCCTCCTCCTGAGCTGGTCATGACCTTTATGGTGTCCCAGCCTAATTTGCATATTACCTCTCTCTCTCTCTCTCTCTCTCTCTCTCTCTCCCTCCCCCCCCCATATAATAAAAGGCT